TTATTTGGTGTTATACTGAACTTAAGCACACTGTCCTGCTGCTCTAAACATCTCCGAAAGCGTTGAAGGTAGAACTTGAGGACTGCTGCAGAATATTTGGAAGGCTAAATATGGTTGAAATAAAGGACAAAATTCCTAAAAATTATTTCAGTCTATAAATGCCTATTCCAGACAGCTTCATTCTACTAAAATTGCTAGTGAAGACAGCGAGGTGATGGTCAAAGATTTTAGCTATGGACACAGTGAATCAGCCTGCTGGTCTGTATGTTTGACCTCTGACTAACTCTCAAGCAATCGCTCTTGCTAATTCTTCCTTTTCCACTCTTTGTCTCCCTTCACAGCACTGCTGGGGCTGAAGGAGGGCAGCAGAGGCCTCTCACCGTGCCCTCCGCACCCACCATGCCACCTCTGAGTGCCTTCACTGAGCGACAAATAAACGCAGGAAGGCACCTGATCTAATAATGTATGTTAAACAGCATGAAAAGTGGAAGAGGAACTGCCAATGAGTTTAAAATCAATGATTCCTTGGGAAGTGCCATGATGGGATCTGCTCGAGTGGTTTCCTTTGTCAATACGTGTTACGTGGTTGGTAGAGCTGATGGGAACAGCTCAGCAGTAAGGACACCCTCTTGTACCTCTTTTTCCTCCGGTCTCTTTCCTTTTTCAAATGAAAAGTGACTGCCCGAAGATGAGAATATACTGTACTCTCTTCTGGGCCTTTTAATGTGAGCCCGCTCAAGGCAAAAATCACCCGAAACAGCACCAAAGAATTTGACTCTGGATAGATTATTTTTTTTCAATGTGAACAGTTTGTTCAACAAAAAAGTTGGGTTTGGATTTAGTTGAATTAATAGTTTGGCTGGTAATTATTGTTAAAAACTAACATTTAATTTCAATGGTTTTCAATTAGACATTTTGATATTTTCTTTCAGAGACTGAGCTGAATTTAATAGACAATATTATAAAAGTGAAACATTTATTTGCTAGAAACAGAAGCTTGTTTTCTGTTTTTCTGATGAAACTAAGAGGGTTTACTGTGGAGTTTTCTTTGCCTCTAAGTGTTTCCTCCCCATACCTGTGGTGGAACGTACAGAACAGGAGCGCAGGTACCACGTGAGGATGGTTGTCATTCCTGCCTATGAGCGACCACCCTTGCAAAGAGTAGGCATTTTGAGAGTGTGTTATTTAATCTCCTTTTTTATTACTTTATTTTGCAGTACTTTGCAAGCGAGGAACTAAAAGGTAACGCATAATCAGCAAACAGAATCTTGCTGGTTCTTTGGAGGAAGCAGAGAAACCACAATAGAGAATGGCACAAAATCAAAATAATTTTGCAGCTGCCTGTGGATGCACTGAAAGAAGAGAGGTGGTATGGCCAAGATTCACACAGGGAGAGAGTCGCAGGGAATGAGGCAAAAAATTAACACAGTGCGGATCGTTTTGGCAATAAAGTTAAGGAGGGAAAATTTTTGAGAGATGATGTCAAAAAATAAGGGTGGGAATCAGCTAATGCCTGGTTGTAAAAAGGAATGGAGAAAGTGGAGTCATAGCTGATTAAGAGGTGACAAACTCGGGTCAGGAAAAGGGCAGTGGGTGTTAACGGAGAGCTGGCCAGGGTGGGAGAGCAGGAGATGAGCAGAGGCAAAGGAGTGGACAGGGGGTCAGGCTGAGGAGCAATGGGATTTGGGGTCGCAGTTGAATGGAGAACCAGCAATTTGGAGAAGGAAGTAGAAAAGAAGATTAAGAGATAAATCTGGATCCTTCGGGGATCTGAGCAAGAAGTAAAACAAAGTGAAGTCAATTCGAGGAAGTAAAGACATGTGGGAGGCAGAGGAACACATCATGGGGCACTGTGCAACTGCTCCAGCAGCAGAGAGCCACAAGAGCCAAACAGAAACACATTAAAAATTGTATTATTTCCTTCATTTTATTTCATATTAAGTGGAGAAAGGATTCTCAATATTTTTTCCATTTCATTTTACAATATTTTTTTTTTTGGTCCAGATAAATATCCTAAAAGCATAGAGAACAGGATTCTGAAAATGCACTTAAGAGCTCTTACTTTGTGAAGTTACATGTTTTAAGTGTGTGCTGAATGAGACCAAGTTAGGAGGAAGGTGGTTCTCTGGCTTTTTCTGCACAAAACTCTCTTGTGTACCAATCCTGCACGAATTTATGTTAATATTTAAAATATTTGGTTATTAATGTCACTGGTAATGGTGAGTATAGATAAAGCTGTTCTAAGGTCTTTGTAGAACTCGGCCATAAGCATAAGGTGGTGTACGTAGCTGTGCTGCAAGTTCCTGAGGTAGGCAGGCAGGAAGAATGCAAAAAGGTACCCACCAAAAGCTTAAATTTTGTACTGAGTACTTCCCATCAGAGCTCCAGTCAAAGCAATAGGAGATTAAAATGAAAGCAAAAACCCAATCATGAAATTTAATTCATCAAAAATTTGTTTTATGTTTTGAAAAAGCATGATTTTTTTTTTTTTAGGGAAATATACCAGTGGTAGGCAGAAAGGGGGCCGAAAGGGGAAGTAGCTACCAGAAACTTCCAGTGGTTAGCAAAAAAAAGTATGTGTGGGTTTAAGTACAAATATCTATAAAGTTCATCAGGGATAACTCTAAATTGGTGGTGCTTTTTAATCCATAAGGCATGTTAGGTTATTAGACTGCCAACAGTATTTACAGATAACTAGGCCAGAAGCAAGCAACTACCTTAGGTAATAGAAAAAGAAGATTCCCTAATAGGTTGGTTAATTATGACAAAAATGGTCAGGCATTAAAAAGTGTCAGGGATATTTTCACGTTTCTTTTCAATATCAAGATTGTAATAAGATCAGCTGTCCTGCCGCTTACCCCCTGGTGAACCTAGCAGTGATTCCTCCAAAGTTAATGGAGTTTGACTCTTGAAATCTGCATAAACTGAATAATAACTGAAAACTCGTTCTGTGGCTTGAGGTTTAAGTTTATATTGCTGTTAGCGTTTATTTAATGTCCAGAAGTAGAAGCAATTATGGCCCCAGCTTTGAAAAGCACAGTGTTTAAGGGCCTGATTCTGTAGACATGCATACATCTGTTTGGTTATTGGGTCCACTACCTTAAGGCCTGATTCTAATCTATGTGTTAATGCAACTTTTGCAACACTGTCACGTTTATTTATTTATCTTTGGGCCAAGCAATTACTGTTAGAAGTAACACAGCTGTCAGCTAAGTTATTTACAATTATACAGCGCCCTGGCGGATTTCACAGCTATGCCTCCATGCTCGGTGCAGTCGGTACAGAATTCACAGAATTCACAGAATTCACAGTATTGTTAGGGTTGGAAGGGACCTCTGGAGATCATCTAGTCCAACCCCCCTGCCAGAGCAGGGTCACCTACAGCACGTTACACAGGACAGCGTCCAGGCGGGTTTTGAATGTCTCCAGAGTGGGAGACTCCCCCACCTCTCTGGGCAGCCTGTTCCAGTGCTCCACTACCCTCAAAGTAAAGAAGTTCCTTCTCATGTTAAGATGGAACTTCCTATGTTCAAGTTTATGCCCATTACCCCTCGTCCTATCACTGGGCGCCACTGAAAAAAGACTACTCCCATCCCCCTGGCATCCTCCCATTAAGTATTTGTATGTATTAATAAGATCCCGGTATGCGCAGGAAATAGGGTTTCTTCAGATTTCTTTCTGGCAAGAGTGTCTGAAGCCCGAAGCACGTCCGTGTTCTGTTTCGGGACCTCGCATCATAGACCGTGCTCCAGCGGACAACGCAGGTCACTGGGACAGCCCTCGGGCAGGGTGCCACTAACGATGTCCAGGTGCCACTAACGATGTGCGCACACAGGAACTCCCGACAGCCAATTCTGCGCCATCGCTGGGGGCAATCGGACTGAGGAAACAGAGGTTGGAGGAAGTTGTTACTGTAAAGCCCGTGATAGCCAAAACATTTGTTTTAGTGCAATTAAGATAAACTAGCAGCAATAAAATTAACGAACCTGTGGTGATCTAATGAGGAAAAGTGCGAAGACCTGACTAATACAAAATGGAAATTGCATGTTTTGTGAAGAGCAGTTGCCACTTCCAGACTGTGTGCGTTCTAGTCGTCCGTATATTTATTAGTAGACCGCCACTATAAAATGCTGTGGTTTATTCCTTGTGTTAGCCTTATCTTTGTGGAAGGAAGGCTGCCGTTTTCAGCCTGGGGCAGGATCCACCCTCACTTCCCATCCGTCCTCTTCGCTACAGACAGACCAATACATAAGGAGATTCCTATCCGGGAAAGAGAAAAGATAGCTACAAAAATCTGACCTCCCCTTTTAATCTTAAATATATTCATTATCCATTTGTCAGCATACCCCAGTTTGTATGCTGTGTTAGTTCCCGTTCAAGGCGTACACGTGGTACTTAAGACAGCTAGGCTGTAATTTGTGTTTACACAAGAAAATTGACCTGAGGGGTTGCTGTGGCATAATTTAATTGCAACATCGGTGCTGGGATAACCTCACCCCTCTCTGCACACGCTCCCGCGCTTGAGCAAATTACCCCTTTTGTGTAATTAATGAAAGTTAACTGTTTACCAGCGTAAGTACAGGTAAACTATGTAGTGTGGTTTGTCAGATTTACTAGAGGAGAAAAGTTTTAAAAACCAGATGAAAATCCAAATAAAATTTGAGATGGCAATGGAACGGAACACAATCATCTTCGTGTTTGTGAATTTTAGTTTATCTTATATATATGGTATTACAAACTGAAGTTGAGGAGGACGAATGACCTTTATTCAGGCAGATATTTGTGACTATGCTGTCACAGCACCCTGTCCAACACCAGCCAGGGCTTGCTCGCTCTGGGTATGGCACCACTCAGAGACACATGTAAACAGCTGGTTAGTCCTTAGCAACATTTCCTGCTCACTGATAACATTTTTAATGCAGCCAGATACTTGTACGCGGTTTTGGGTTTCATTCTGGGGACGAATACAAAGCCCGCGCCCCTGCCCGCCGAAACCCGTCATGGCGCCGGCGGGCGGCAGAGCTTGCAGCAGGGGGCGGGAGGACACGAGAATAGCTGGTTCTGATTGGCTCGGGTTCCCGCGGCGACTGGCGATTGGTGCTCGCGGCCGCCCTTCTGGAGGCTTCGGCTCTAGCGCTGAGGGGAGGGTGGTGTCCGGCCCGGGATGGCGGCAGGAGGCTGCCGTGGGAATGAATGGATACCCTGCTCGTGTGAGGCAGACCTCCCTGCACAGCCCTGTGCTCGCTGCAAAGAGTGAGCCTGGTTCAAGCACGGCTGCCCGGCTCCTCTCCTCATCCACGGGCGCCTTCATTTTCAGGCTTAAGAACAGAGACAAAACATGCCGGTTCCAACAGTTGGATTTTTTTTTGCCACTGAATTGTCACAAAAAGTAGATGAGCTATGAGGGTTGTTACTCCTCTTCAGGTAACGATAATCCTGGTTGTGAATACCTCTGTTGGCTTCTTTATGCTGAGGGGTTATCCACTGTCCTGCAGCACACTGAAAATTGGTATTTCAGTGACAGCTTAAAAAACATGGGGTTTTGTATCCAGTAACTAACAGGGTGACTGCTATTCTGTAGGACTATCTTCATATTTTATTCATTAATCTCAATTTTTTTTGATTTAAATTTGTGTCAGTTATAGGAGAAAGATGCTGTAATTATTTTGTATAAATTACACAATTTATAGATAGCATTGGGACCTGGGGTTCTTCTCATAAGCATCATTTGAATTACAACAGCAGTCCCTGATAGCTGTAGCTCTTGATAAGAGAATTTGGGACCTTACTATGAAATTTAGGTCCAGCTTTCCATAAAACGTGAGAGTTCTGATTTTTGGACCAGGGAAATGAGTGGGAACCTAACAGCCCAGGCTGCTTCTTTCTCATCTCGGGATGACTGAGGCTATGCAAGCATCCTTATCCAGATCCAGGGCAGGTAAAGATGTTTTCGTCCCCAGCTGCTTCCTGTGGTGGTTACTTTGTCTAAAACATCACTGGGCTTCAGCTGGCATTAGTTTGCTGAATCTGCAGCAGTGCAAATCAGCCAAATGTTGCTACGTGTATCCTGTTAAAATAATGTTGCTTTAAATGATACCATCAAAGCTGCCTTGGGAGCAGGAGCATGGTGATGAACCTCACTGAGCAGTTACATGTTGAAGTGCTGCTGCTGTTTGCTGGGTAACAGGCTTTTGGTTACCAGATACCCCTGGAGAAATAGATCGCTTTTGGGAAAGACTCCTCATGTGAAGAAAGGGTGCTGGATGCTTGTTCCCTCCCTGGTCTGTGTGTTTGTTTGTTTTGTATGTTGGCCAACTCAAGAATGTATATTTATCTGTCATTCAAAATAATTCTGTAATCGATGCAATTTTAGCTGTATTCCTTTTGCAGAAAAAGCGTTTAACATAAACACATCAACAGCAGAAGTAACATAAAAGGATTAAGCTTTCTTGCTCACGGTTTCTAATTATTTTGGAAAGTAGAAACTCTAGGAAATAGCTGACTCTTCTTAGTGACTGTGAGAAATTTGGACTCTTTAGGATCTGCATGGCTTTACCTTTTTTCCTAGTAGTCTTGGCTGCAGGTAGTCTGGAAGGTGTACGGTCACTTCAATCACTGCAGTACTTCAGTTGAACTCACGTCCCTGGACATGCCAGTTTGGTGCAACTTTTCCTTCTATTTTGTTTCTTTGCTGTTCTTTGCATTTTTTACATTTATCTTCTGAGATATTCCACAAAGCAATATGTGAAATTAGGCTATTACAGTGAATTACAGGGAATGTTGAAGAAAATATTGGAAGCATTTCTGGGATACTTTTTTTTTTTTTTAATATCAGAACTTTCACTGGAAACAGGAGTTATGCTTACTCAGCCACGAGATCCAAAACTGTGTGATTTTGCCTCAAAACAATTAATACTAAATATCTTGAAATGGAGATAATATATTGCCTGGGAGCAACATTAATCCTAAGCAAAAGAAATAGTCTGGGTACTTGCTATAAGAATTCAAAATAAATGGAACGAAGAGGCTATGTCCATTTAAATCTTTTGCTAGGAATCGTTTGCTTCCATCTACAACACAACACGCCTGAAGAACTCTGTGCTGCTTACACAGTATAAATATAAGCATTTTGGCAAAGAGGCCAGTCACCAGCAATTAACACTCTCTTGTTTATCTTTTGTGCATTTTGCTCACAGCTTTAACAATCAGATAAAGAGGGAAACAAGACTATATAAAAATGTGCATTCCATTTACCGACTAAAAGTCCTCACTGCTATTATTGCTTTACTGTTACTATGCAGAGTCCTGGCTTTGATTTCTTCAGTCTGCTGTAGCAAAAAATAATAGTATTGTAATAACACAAAAGACCTTGTAGGACTTGAATAACTAATTATAATTCTGTTGGAAATCATACTGTATTTACAATATCATACCACATATTTACTGCTTCTACTTCAGAGTGCAATACTTGATGAATTTTTAAAATGTATTTATTTAAATTTCGTCAAATGACAATTGTGGATGCTTCTGTGTACATTTCTGATGACTTCCAAAGCTAACTGCACTCTCAACTCCACCACAGTTTTTGTATTTCCCCTTCTGCAGTCTAATTTACTGAGTGGCTTTCCACTATAGAAAAATAAGTAAGTTTAAGGAGTGTATGAAAAAAGCAAACTCCAAATAAGGTAAATTAAGTTGTGGAGACATATTAACTTCACCATAAGGTATAACTCTTTCAAAGTTCTCTTCAGGAGTTTTTGTAAATGGGCTCTTTTCACAGAATTGCTGTTGGGAATAAAACTGAGTGAGACTGAGATCAGGCTTCATATTCGCTTAAGTTAGGCTACTGTGGAGACGTTAGAGCTTAGTGCCGCGTGCCATTCATCTTCTCCTGCTGGTAGCTTGCTCTAGTGGCTCTCAGTTGCAGAACAGAAAACACTAGTATTATTAATGCAAGTGAACTTGGCAGTCGTGAGAACAACTGAATTGTTTGATCATCATTTACGCTGTATACTCTTCCCATGTTTCTCTAGTATTGGGCACTGAAAAGAAGAGAAACAACTAAGATGTGAAGTTGAAGGGGAAGGAAGAGAAACTCTTGTTCTGAAGAGGTTTTTTGTTGTTTTAAGTTGTTACGCACTGGCATAGTGCTGTAGTGTTTGTGCTGTAAATGCTGCAGGAAACTATTCAAACTTAAAAGCGAAACTTCTTAATGATTGCTTGGAAACATAAAACCCACAACTAATATAAAACCATTCAATGAATGTCAGACCTGTGCTTTTTGTCAGCCATCTTAAGTGCTTAATTTTTTATGTTTGCAGTAGACCTTATGCAACAAAATGTAAAAGCTGTGCTGGATCACGATCTGTTACATTTATACCATTATTCTATTTAATATCATTTACTTAATAGAATAAAATTATCCCCCTCCCAAAGTCTTATCTGCTTAGAAAGGAATAAAATAACAGAATGTTTAAACATGGATTCTGAAGTACGTAGCAAAGATTTTATTCCTTGTGTGTTGATGTCTGAGTACAATCTGAATCTTTTTCTGTGAAGGCTTTAATTGCAAGCTGATAACAGTGACTCCTTTGTGGCAACAGTTATTCAATGGGTCACAATCAAAAAGCAAAGGAATAGAATTATGAAGGAGAGAGACCAACTCCCTCCATGCTGTGTTCCCTCTTCTGCTTTCGGGGCAATTATGACGTGTTTCTGCATTCTAGAATTTAGGGAAAAAGAAGATGGGGGAGGGAAGTTAAACCCTTTAGTAGTTTTGACTCACAAGAAATGTGTTCTTATTCGAAGAGAGTTCTGTCCCTGTTACTATTCAGGAACCAAACAATAACTGTGCTCAGCAGCACTGGAATGAACTGTGGGCTGGCCCGGCAAACGCAGTACCAAATCTATACAGAGGGACATGGGGGGGGGGGTCATGTGTGTCTCATTCTTGCTCATTCCTTGGTAAACTTGAAGGTTCTCTTCTTTGCATGAACGGTCTATACTTTGACCATAGGAACATTTGAAAAGCAGATCATGTCCCTGTGGTCCCAGTGGACTGAGGGAAGGAAGCCCACATGCTTTGCAAACAAACCCAGTGGCACGACTGACCACGCATATGTCAGATTGGTATTAGTATTTTACTGAACTAGCCATGATGATTATTTTTTTAGTTTTGTGATTGTGGTTGGGTAAACAAAAAGGTGCTCATAGCTACCCAAAGACTTGCAAATCCCACTAGTGATTTACATAGCATTGGTGATCTTGGATGACTTAAATTTGATCTTCTTGGTGAGGCTTCTAAACGGCGAGGGATAATCATCTGATCTGTTATTCCAGTTTGATGGTGAGACATTAAAAAAACCAGTTGTTTAGGCTGGTTGCTTTGTTATGGCTGAGGGAATTGTTAACCTGATTCTTCTGACTCGTGCTGGTAGAAATTAGTGCTGTTACTAAATGCTACTGGATGTCTTGTAGCCTTGTGAGTGCAATTATGGACATTTTTTTAATCAAGCAAATTTTCCATGGTCTTGTCTTTTCTAAACTTACTTTATTCTGTTCTTAAGCCTGTTTTAACCTAACCATGTTAAAACCAAGGCTTTAACCAGCCTTGATCTGTTCTATCGTTATCCAGATTCCGAATTTCTTCTAAGCAGCATTACATACCTGAGCATGAGCTAGAAAGGGTGAGCAAGGTGACCTTTTGTTTAAAGCTGGGGAGTCCCTACAGTAGGTGCTAGCCTTCGTCAGTAGGAAATTGGACATTTTATAGAATCATAGCATCGTCTAGGTTGGAAAGATCATTGAGCCCAACCATTAACTCAGGACTGCCAAGTCCACCACTAAACCATGTCCCTCAGCACCATGACTACCCATTTTTTAAATCCCTCCAGGGTTGGTGATTCAACCACTTCCCTGGGCAGCTTGTTCCAATGTTTGATAAACCTTTCTGTTAAGAAATTTTTCCTAGTATCCATCCTAAACCTCCCCTGGTGCAACTTGAGGCTGTTTCCTCTTGTCCTGTCGCTTGTTACTTGGGAGAAAAGACCAACCCCCACCTTGTTACACCTCCTTTTGGGTAGTTGTAGAGAGCAATAAGGTCTCCCCTCAGCCTCCTTTTCTCCAGGCTGAACAACCCCCAGTTCAGTTTCGTTGCCCTTCTCTGGATACGCTCCAGAACCTCAATGTCTTTCATGTTGTGAGAGGCCCGAAACTTAACACAGTATTTGACGTGGGCTCTTACCAGTGGAATG